TTTTTTAAGTCATGTAATATTGTAACTTAGATTAATTATTTGTTTCATCATAAATATTAAATTCATTACAATAACAAAAAAATACAAACCACTAGACAATGAATTATATTAAAAAATATTATATTCTAAAACTAATTATTTCATTTTACTATATTACCATTTTTTAAATTTAAAATTAATTTTTATTTGTTTTCTCCTTATAAATATTTTTAGAATTATATATAACATCAACAATTATTATTTTATATTACTTTTATAACTAGAAACATTTTGATAATTTTTAATTTCTACCAATTAAACAATTTTGTTTATCTATCACATCAATCAAATTCTACACTAATTTTCATAAAAAAAATTCAATTCATTCTCAAATTTTCTCAAATTCATTCACTCACTCTCTCCCAAATCAATCATCTAAAGTGAATACACCCTTAGATTCATTTTAAATAATGCTTTTTATTTATTATAAAAGCAAAACCAAAAAAATAATGAAAACAAGAAATACCAAATATAAAATACTTACAAAAATAATCCTTTATCTCTTAGCTTTACTCTATGTTGAAACAATAAAATAGATGATTGGAAAAGAAAAACATTTAGGAGTGATGGAATCTTTTTATTTGTACTCATCTATATAGTTACACATTCCCTTCACACTAAGATAGTAGTAATAAGGGACAGATAAATGTAAGCTGAGACAGAATTTTGGCACGCTTATTTGTTTAAAAAGCAAATTTAATTTTGTTTTTATATGTTGTAGGTATTTTTTAAAAAGTCTAACTTGACCTACAATTAAATTTGAAGATATATGTTCTATTAAGATTAAATAAAAAAATATTTTACTATCAGTGAAAAATAAGTTATCAATAATCATAAGTAAATGTTAACAGGATTACATTAAATTTTATACAACTTAATTTATACACATGTTTAAATACTTGTCTATAAAGATGTATTATTATTCATGTTATCTAAAACGGCATAGAACATTTTACCAGCCTAAGCTTTTACAGCCGTTCCAGCTTTGAAACCAGCTTTTCCAGTTCCTGCAATGTTGTTAACTCTTTTACTAGTAAGATCTAGCTTCTTAGTTTGATAATTTAAAACATACAGGAAGGAGAATAGGAAATTCAGTCAGTGAGGATAATGGAACTAAAGTCTGACCATTCAATTAATTAAATTGTGTCAGAGTAAGGTGTATCATGTTTGATTCCAAAGCTCCAAGATAAGTTTGATGACATAAATCTGAGTATTCGATAGTATTTAGAATTAAATCACGTATATGACCTAATAAGGTATGTAGAAAAAGAATTGGCTACCCTCGAAAAATTTGACATAAAAGGTTAAAATAAGTATCTAATTAATGTTTAAAAGAGTTTAAACCTGCCCGACACCCAAATTTTCATAGAAATCAGCCGGATGACCAGCAAGAATTGGAAATTTCAGCAATGACAGAAATTGGAAAATGTATGCAAAGACAAAAGGAACATGTAACTTATTCTAAAAATTCGTTCTTTTCTTGGTGTGTGTGCGTGCGTGCATATATATAACTCAGCTGGTCGTGGATCCAAATCCAGAAATAGCGTTTCTGACATGCAAGGGTAAGGCTATATAGAATCCACCCCCGTACTTTTGCATAGCAAAAAAGCCTTTTGAACTGAGATACGTTAGTGAGTTATATAATTCAGTCAGTGTTATCAATAAGATATATCGCATGGCAGAGCCATGGCAATTCAAAATTACCTGGGTGTGAGTTGTCTACCTTGTGATTGTGTCTATATGTGATATAAATTTCACCATCATTTCCACACATAATCCCCAATGGATGTTGAAGAAGTCCATCAGAGTCTATTCCATCTTGGTCACCAAACTGCAGGTTTGAATATATCACGGTAGGATTGATCTCCAAACTTAACTCCTCCATTACAAATACACTGCTATAAACAAATTAAACAGCTAAAGCATTACAAACTACCCTATTATTCAGAAACTATGACGGATATTGTTTATGAATTCTAAGCTAGAGGGAACACACACAAACTGAAAAATATTAGCAAAAAAGACATACATATATACGTTGTACCCTGGGCAACGTGGATCCCACATAGGGCTGATTGCCAGGGATATTCTTCATTAGCAAGGTTACATTGCGGTACATCAGAAACCAACTAGGACTCAATAATTCAACATTAGGAATGTAGGCATTTCAGCATACACTTCGTAAGCAACTTAATTTCTCAACAGAAACAATGACAAATTTCAAAATCTTCACCACTGTGGGAGAAGCAAACACAATGGTAATGTCCGAAATATTAATTTTAAACTGACAAAGAAACTTTAAAAAATCGTAAGGCTATAAAGATTGATAATGACAGAAATATCAGTAATATAGAAAATAAATGAAGAGGATATCAGAACACATGACAGAGAGAATAAGAGGGTAAAGGAGAAGGAGATATTACCATTAGAAAAGCCTCAATGAAAGACACAGATCCTCATGTAAGAGGCAGATCTTGAAACCTACAATCGCCTGCAAGTCAAAATAGTAGAAAATGCACGTGTTATAAAAAAAAAAAAAGTAGACCATTAACCTTATTTAAAAAAATTAGATCATTACACTTACATTAAAAGTGTATTTTACGTTTAATAATATGAAATCCAGTGTTGCAATCTAATTAATGATGTTGATGCTATCTTACATATCTAACGACAAAGACTTTTAACAATGAAATATTAACACAGTAAATCAATTGAAAAAGACCTTTTAGTATTGTCCTATTGGTACTATTGATGTTTGTTATTAGTAAGATCTGTTAGGATTACTACTTAGGAGTAGTAATCTGTTAGGAGTTTGGTTTTCGCCCCCTTTTCCCTAACTTATTTAAAGGTTAGGGTTTTTCCCCATCCTGTAATATCATAGAAACTTACACAATACAGTAATAATGAAAGTTCAGTTTTTTCATACCTTCTGATAAAGCCTTTCCGCCGATCTGCTCTCTCTCCTTCCAGAAGCCATGCCTGAATGCTGCCAGTGAGCCTCGTGCTCCTTCTCCTCGCGGACCAGCACTGCCTTTCTTGGCTCAGGTTCTAAACACGAGATATTTTTATCTCTCGTGGGCCTTTAAACCAGTGGGCCTTTATTATAATACCTTTAACCTCCAATATTGAGCTTGAACAATAAGATCTAATTATTCCTAGTCACTTAAGACAGTAAAAATGAAACCACAAATATATTATGTTCTATCTACATGAATTCCACAAAATGATATATTATGTTTTTAAACCAAACACGGGCGAAGTACGAAGGATACCAACACTTAGGTGTCATGCATCAACCTACAAACTGTGGTCGTAGCAATTTTCACTTCAACTGAGAAGTGGTCCTAGTGTTGCATTTCATCAAACATGTGGAAGGCACCGTCTTCAACTCACTCATAACATAAAGATAATATTGCAAAATGATTATGCTTAATGAAAACAATCACAACAAAAACATGTAAAATAAGGCATGAATTTGAAAATAATTTGGAACCTGGAGATAAGGAAAGTACATGAGAAGAGATCATAGAGGCGCGGGAGAGAGCAAAAAATCTTGAAAGGGAAAAATAAGGAGTGGAACGGATGATAGTAGAAAAGATAGAATCAACATACCTAAATTAGAAACATCTAAAAGAAGGAGCATGTGAATGCGAGTTTAGGTTTAACATAGCCATATTCAATTATTTAGATATAATTTTAATGAATTTCAATCCATCAACTCAACAGAACATTAATTAAGATAATTTCTTTTATAATATACAAGGCTCATAAAATTCTGCCTCTAATATACTCTTTAACAAAATTTAACCAAGTTATAATAAATTTAACATTTTTTTTCCTGCTGAATACATCTTGGAAAAAGGTTTACCAGGATTTTTAACGGATTATTTTTAGCAGAGTTATTTATGAGTTTACTGCAAATTATTTTTCACAGAAATAGTCACAAAAATTTCTTGCAAATGTCAACCAGCAAAAAATTTCTCAGGAATTTCTTGCAAAAAAAAAAATTCCACGACAAAATTAGCAGGAAATTAACATTATTCTAATAGTTTCAAGATATATATTGTGACAATTAGTTCTTTCAATCTTTTATCTAATTTTAATCAAATTTTATTCAATAAAAGAATCATATAGTGTACAATATCATAAGTATTTTATAATTAAAATTAATCCAAAATGAATTATGATGATAAAATCTTTAGCAGAAAATAGGTTAAATTAGCTACACGTCTCTTTTTTTTTAATTCTAAAGTTTATATACACAAGTTGTATCCACTTTTCTTTTATATATTTTTATTAAATATAATAAATTTAATTTAACACATAGTAAAAGTAACCAAAATTAATTTTTTTATTTAATTGACTTATGTGTACTCCTTTATCAAATTTATATAGTAGAATGTATGAATTATGATAGTTCAAAAAACCAAAACTTTATAAAGATAAAATGTAGATTTAACATTTTTTAACACAAATATTTTTTAAAAGAACAATGTAATTTGTTTTTCGTTAAATTTGAACAAAGATAGGAGAAGTAGTTCATTCCTGTGGAGATAACAAAATTAAAAATTGTAAAAATTTAATAATTTTAATAATAACTTATTAATTATTCCTATTTAACAAATAATATAATTTAGTATTTATCAAAATAAAAAAATAAATAATAAATAATTTTTAAAATAAATTACCAGTTAGTAATTACTAACATTGGAATCGAATTCTTTCCAAGAATCACAACTAGATTTTTCCGCTGTTGATTAATTCAAGGGCTTTTTCAGGTTATATTCTGATTTTTTTTATCAATAAATAATATATATATATATATATATATATATATATATATATATATATATATATATATATATTAAACACTATTATAAAATATCTAAATATGCATTCAACACATTTGTAATGAAATCTCATTGTTTCTTATCAAGACAGTATTATATGTTCAAGGTACCAAAACAGACTATAGTCACATGTTACATCTAATGTAATGTAAAGCAGTCATGGTTACATCAAAAACCAATTATGATATCTGTGTACTTGATGTAAATCAACCTATAGTACTTGTCATAACTGGATAACTTTTGTTCCTCCATTGTTGCTTCCTGGTGTAGCTTGAAAGGAGCATGTTGTTGCATGACTGCATTTTTTTTAGTATCTTTTTTAGTATCTGTATGTTATTGTTGGACCATCCATATTGTGTTTCATATTAATCCTAAATTTACTACTAAAAACAAACATAGCTTCACACTAAAAGTCAAGTCAGGTTAGAATGCAGAAAAAAGATATTTACCTCCAATTTTATAGATTGAGATTTGTGTTTCCTACTAGTCTCTAACGTGTGGTTAAGGTTATATTTTTATGTGACAAATTGAACGTATTGAATTGGACAAAGAATTCAATCAGAATAGAAAAAATAACAATTAATTTTATGTTTTATCTAAAACCAAACATTTAGTTGTGTCAAAAGTAAATATTTTATTTGCATCCACTTTTCTTTCTCTAAACCTTATATTATTCCTATAATCCCATATATTATTTATAATTTTAATTCACACACCCTTCTTCCAACCCATACAATATACAAGATACATCATTTCATTGTACTCTTCTCTTCCTAAGATTTGTCATTGTCGGTACCTTATTCATGATTGTTCTCCAAATCATTTAATTGTACTTCTCTCTTCCTAAGATTTGTCATTGTTGATACTTTATTCATAATTGTTCTCCAAGCAAAAATTTGGTTGAGACAGTTATCTTTACACTCCATAACATTTTGTACAAATAAGAGTTTTCCTCAATACAAGTGTTTTGTATTTTTCATATCCAAATTTAACAGAATATGTATCTTTCTCATCTTTCCAAATCCTCCTTCTTTATTGTTGTTTAAATTCGTCTACTTTTGACAATTTTCACTCAAACCATTCTCTTCTTCATGTTACCTTCCATTTTCATTCATCATTCTCTCATTTTCCAAACACTTTTATGACTCTATTCTTAATTATGGAATTCTCATAGTCTTATAAGCCTAAGGCTTATGATATCTTGTCCTAATCAAGTATCTTCCCATAATTTTATCTTAGGCTTTGAATCTACTTTTCCATTTTATATTTTGGTGAAACTATCTCCTTTTCCCTCCTTCCCGCATACCTTCTTTAAATTTTTTCACCATATTAATCTATGTTTACTTTTCTCGAAAAGCCTCTCCAAGATTTATGTTTTGATTCCAAAATTTCTTTATAGAGGTCGTTTTCTTATTTATCTGGTCTCCATTTTCATTTGGTTAATATAGTTTTATTAAAGAACTCAATACTTTTACGTCTCTTCCTATTTTTTATTTACGTAAACTCTTTCATTTTATTCAAGCTATTTTCCTACCTTCATTTTATGAAAAAAAAAGTTTTTTTTTAATTTCCTAATAAACTTATATATTCCTTTTGGAACTTTATAAATGGAGAAATAATAAATTGATAAAATAATTATAACAGATTTTATAAAACATATTCGTCTTACAAATGACAATGTTCTATCCTTTTATGTTGACAATTTCTTTTGAATTTTGTTAATACTGCCAAAATTGTTTTTGTTGGATTAGTTCATTATGATCTCTAAATACTTATAACGAAACTTCCATATTACTAAAATTCAATTCAAGATATTAGAAACAACTATTGAACCATGAAAATATATATATATATATATATATCAAAACACTATCTTCGAAAAATGTCATTATTTTTCATAAAGTTTCTTGCTCCATGATGACAAGCATGATGAATCATAAACTTCTTGACCTATTTTTGTCGAGTATTCTTAATTCCATTTTTTTTTTCTGTATTTCACAATTTAAAAAAAACTTATTCGTAAATATGGAACTTAAATATACGAGTTAAAATGCAAATGGCAAGGATGATGGTGGATATTGCGCTACGTATTCAATAAAAGGCCTCTTGAATTCGATCCCACAAAAAAGTGGCGAAATCTTTTTCGCCTCAAGAAGGAGCTATCCACGTGTCAACCTTAAGCTCCACAGAACAATCCTCTTCATACCTTAGCCACGTCATCACTAACGTGTTCCCATCACTAACCGCATATTCTACTCTCACTAATTCCTGGCCGTTGATTTTTCGGAGACCAAAATTGTGGTCATCTTAATTACGCATTTCGCTTTAAATACAGAAAAACTCAAATCCTTTAACTTTTCTCTGTAGATTCCTCTATCTGGATTCATTTGCTTCTCGCTGATCAAAGGTACTCTTCGTTAAGGTCTCACTCTGTCTTTGAACATATATTAATTTACTTGTTCATTTGATTCCATTACTTTTGTTTCATCATATCATATCGTGGCAAGTTTTTGATGGTTGGTAGAGCAGTAAGTTTACTCGTCCATATGTTATTATTTTGGTATACATCTTTTAAGCTGTAGTAATGATTAATCATGAGAATGTGCTAACTGATTGATAATTCTCAGTAAGGATTACTTGTGAACCAAAGTTAATGATGGTGTAAGATCTTTAGCATTAAAAACTTGCCATTTCTTGTTAAACGCAGATTATTAGGTAACCTGGTATGGGAGTTGTGACTGTTTCTAGCTCAGCTGCGAGGACTCCAGTGGGATTGAATACAAACTTTTCCTGTAATCGTCTGAAGAGACCTTTGATTATAGCATTTAAAGGGGATAAACAAAATGACTCAGCTTTGATTGCAACTCAAGAGAAAATCCCTGTGCCCATTGCGACCACCAAGACGCAGAAGAAAAAGATAGGGAAAGCTAACAAACTACCTAAGAGAGAAAGAGTTGCCTTTGCGGAGGAAAATTCTCCTTCTTCCTTGGATGTCGACTATAATGAAGCTGCTGCTATGCTTGAAAATATTTACAAACTCAGCCCTGCTTTTGATGCTGATAATGCAGAATGTATAGATGGTAAAATCAAAAGGATCTCCCGGAGAAGGAAGAAGATTGCTGACGATTGTGAAGAAAAGGATGTAAACGACGATAGGGTGGTCAGAAACCAGAACAAGAAAGCTAAACGGTTGAATCTTGATGAGCGGATTTCATTAAAGAGGAACTCAGACGGGGATGAAGTCGTTCCCACTCGAAATAAAAGAAAGAATAGGATTGAGAAGATTGAAGAACTTATTCGGGACTATTCCGCATCAACTGATTTTGTAGGTATGGACTGGAGAAGAATGAAAATACCTCCCGTTCTTTCTTCTTCAGAGCATGCTTGGCTTTTCAAATTGATGCAACCTATGAAGGTAATCAGTAAATTACAACTAATGTTTTTGTCCCCATACTTTGATTTTTTTATTCTTGAACTATTAGTTTAGATTTGTTTGGTTCCCAAGTAGCAGGGGTTCGAGGATTTAATTCCATTCTTAGATAACTTTGTCAAATTCAAGATGTTAGGAAAACTCAGAATTTGCTTCTGTAGCAGACATTAAGTCATAATTGTTTGTTTTTCAGACAATACTTCAAGTGAAAGAAGGTTTACAGAAAGAGCTAGAAAGAGAACCTGCTGATAGTGAAGTAGCCGATGCAACGAACATGAACACTGCTCATGTAAAGAAAGCATTGGAGGT